CTTTAACTTTTACCTTTCTTTGGTTTTTTTGAGACAGTCTCGCTATACAGTCCAGGCTGGCCTTGAACTCACAATGTAGCCTAGGCTGGCCTCAAACTCAAGGTGATCCTCCTGCCTCAGCCTCCTGAGTGCTGGTATTACAGGCATGTGCCACCACACCCAGCTTTTACTCTTTAACCCAAATCTGCAGTTTTTCTTTGGCGGTGCTGGGTATCAAACCCAGGGCCTCTTGCATGCTAGGTAAGTGTTCTATCACTGAGCCACATCCTCAGCCTCCAAAACTCCAGTCTTATTTTTAGTTAAAAAAAAAAAAAGCCAGGTATGGTTGTACAGGCCTATAATCCCAGCACTCAGGAGGCTGAGGCCAGCCTGGGCTACATAGTGAGTACAATGCCAGCCTGAACTTAGCAAGATTTTGTCTAAAGGAAAAAAAAAACCTACAAAAGAGAAAATGCTATTCTATTTGTTAAATAAAAATATGAAAAAAAAATCCTTTTTGAAAAAGGGTCAGAATATTCCTTATTTAAGTCTATGGATTAAAAAAAATTGTTAAATTGTTTCATAATATACTTCCATGTCATAATAACTTGAAGAGACAACACATGTCCTTCTCACTTGCCACTTCAGGAAAGTCACATGCAGTATGTGGGAAAGCAAGGAACAGAACATAGGTATATGTGTTTTCTTGAGAAATCTCTTGGCCTGACAATGAACCTTAGTACTGAATACTTTTATGTCGTCTTTGTTGCGGTCCCACTAAATTTTTAAGCCGTACATACCACTGCACTGAAATTTCCTACAATTCCAGAATTATTATTAGTGGCCATACAGCTTAAGTAGCTAATAAACTTTTTAATTACATACAATAGTAAACACCTACGCAAATTTTGCTGGTATAAGCCTGATCCTAAGAATTCCCCTTTCTAAAACATGATTGGGAACATTTATAATGTTCTTACTAGGTTTTTGAGTTCTGATCTACCCTAAGACTATACTAGAATCTCTGAAAACAAATGCTAAATTCATAATTTCTATACCCAGACTCCATGAATCCATCATAAACCCCACAGTCTCACTTAGCTTAATAACAAATGGATTCAACCAAACAGCTCATGGTAATTCCACCTTAGTTCAGGTTGTAAAGAGTGTTTTCTATGACTGGACTTACTAAGAAATTGTGAAGAGAAAGCAGATATTTTCACCTCTGGGAGACTATCAAAATGATGCTTTGTTACAGAATTTATGAAGCTAGTTTAGTAACTTGCAGGCTCTAGTGGGGGGAATAGATATAGATAGAGATTAAAATTAATTTAATACCAATTTTATATGCCAAAACTTTCTAAATTTTTTAAGTGCAAGAAATGTATCACTGAAGCACCTGAGAACTACCATGAAATCCCAGCAATAATAATAAACTCAGATGTAAAAAGAAAAACAAACAGAGATGCACACGTATTTTTTAAAGGATTTTTATACTATATTAAAAAATCATAAAATAAAAAAGGGATCAATTAACATATATATCAGAAGTCCCTCCAGCAGTCCCAGTATTCACCAGCTTTGTCCATTTCTGCTCAGAACACAGATCTTTTAAGGATCATTGTCTTTGCTCAGTCCGCAGCTCATTTAAGGATCTCTGAGATGACTCTAGTTCTTAAAATCAAACTTGTTCTGCCAAATCCAAAACCCTGAATTTATCCAAATTGTAGAAACATGCTTTTACCACCCGTCCACCAAAATACCTCCCATTCAGATCAACAACAGCTAAAAGGCAAACAAAAAGACAGTTAGTTAATTCAAGTATAAGACAGCACCAAAATATTAACTTAAATAATCTTTAATATAAACAATAACAGCATAAAGATTAAGGTCATAAATTCAACCTTTTAAATTCCTTAATATTTAGCTGTACAACTTACCTTTAATTGCTGATTCAACTCTCTCAAATTCTAAAAATATTCGTACTGCTTCATCATCAGGGGCACCAGGAATCTGGAAGAGGTATGAGTAAAGTTATCATTTAAAATATCACTTGTATCACAGTAAATATTCTAATTATCATCATATATGGACAAGTAGCAGTCAATTACCAAGGAAAGAAAATAAA